GCTGTCACTCACCTTGCTCATCGTACTCCCAGCCGAACTTCTTCGAGTCACGCAAGGCCTGCCCCAAAAGGGCGGCCTGATGCATCAGTTTCTTCGGGATACAGCCGACGTTGACGCAGGTGCCGCCAACACCTGAGAAAGACAAACAGCTGTCCTGTTTCCTCGGCGTGTGTGTGTGTGTGTGTGTGTGTGTGGTTTCACACGCCTGCACAGCGTCATTATAGTCAAACACGTGTGACAAGCTTGAATGGAGGTGGGGACGGCGCCTCACTCCGAAACGATCGCGCAAGCGATTAATCCGAACTTCCTAACCAAGGAGTCACGGCGGAGACCCAGGGCTGAGCAAAAGCGGGGATGTGAAAAGTTTTCTGGGGACACGGTCCGCAACTTTGACTTGAATCTGATCTACAAAGGCATCGGAACGCTATTCGATTAATTACACATGTACGGCACCGAGGGCCGGAATCTCGGCTCCCGGCCTTTGACTCTGTTCCAAGAGTCCTTCTCGGAGCCAACGGTCCCCTGCAAGCGGCCTAGTGCCACCTACTCTGAGCCTTGAACGACAGAAAAGAGATCGTGCAAAACAGAGAGCCCCTTTGCAGGATTAGGAGTCCAGCTTTCCCTCCTTCGCCGCGGTCTCTTTTGTTATGCCAGGTAAGGAGGATTATTTCGGGACAGGAGAGGGGAAAAAGAGGAGGGAGAGAAGGCAGAGGAAGAAGAGAAAACACAAGCGCACACACACACAAGAATATCACGAGAAAAATCAAGGTGGATTACAGCTTTGGTATATAAAATTCGAGGCTAAAACTTTTTAAGTGTGAATTAAAAAAAAAAAATGATTTTTGGCCGGGCGCGGTGCTTCACGCCTGTAATCCCAGCACTCTGGGAGGCTGAGGCGGGAGGATTGTTTGAGCTCAGGAGTTCGAGACCAGCCTGGGCAACACAGCAAGACCCTGTCTCTGCTAAAAATAGAAAGAAATTAGCTAGACAACTAAAAATATATAGAAAAAAAAAAATTAGCCGGGCATGGTGGCTCATGCCTGTAGTCCCAGCTACTCAGGAGGCTGAGGCAGGAGGATCGCTTGACCCCAGGAGGTG